ATATACAAGAAGCTAGAGTAGTGAGCAAGAAAAAAGGGAGACAGGTTCACGTGAGAATCAATATCGTCAGAACAATCAATGTGGTCCCAAACAAATTTCACAATCATCTTCTGAATGGTGGTAATTGAATTCAGCTTTCATGCCAATAGCAACGAGTGTTGATCAGTGAATTAATTGCAACTTGTTATGTATTTTAACGTCCTCCCTCAAGCTGGAGTTTATCCATTAACTCCAAACTTGTCTTTAAGAAATGGGAACCTAGAATGGGAGAGAGGCTTGATTAATAAATCTGCGGTTTGATCAGATGAAAGAATGTACTGTATCTTCAATTTCCCTTCAAAAACGTTGTCTCTCACAAAGTGTATATCAAGTTCACTGTGTTTAGTTTGAACATGTTAAACATGGTTGGAAGCTAAAGCTCTAGCACTTAGACTATCACACCACAAAGTGGGAGATGAGGCAGGCTGCAATTTGATTTCCTTAAGGAGTGACTCATCAGCACTTGACCTAGCAACTATATGTTGTTTCTTTGAAGACCAAGCAACCAAAGTATCTCCTATATAAACAGAATAGTCGGCTATTTATCTCCTGTCATCTGGGTAGGATGCCCAATCAACATCATCAAAATCGTTGATATTCAAACTATCACTTCTCTGAATCCATAAGCATTGTTCCACGGTGCCTTTCAAATATCTGAAGACTCTCTTAACTGCCTTCCAATGAATGTCTGAAGGGGTTTGTAGGAATTGACTTAGTTTATTCACTGCAAAGCTAATATCTAGTCGTGCATGAGCAAGGTACTGAAGCCCACCTATTACACTTCTGTACAAGAAGGGATCTGCCATCTTTCACCATCATTCTTGGAGATGCATTTGCCTACTACCATAGGTGTTGCACAAGGTTAAGATGTTCAAAGTTAAACCATTTTAGCAAGTCCTTGATGTACGTAACTTGGGTGAGACGTATCTCTGATTCATATCTCCTCACTTCAATCCCTAAGAACTGATGTAATTCACCCAAGTCTTTTAATGCGAACTATGAGTTAAGCTTGTTAATGAAGCATTGCAGTACTTTGTGATCATTTCCAGTTATTACAATATCATCAATATATACCAAACAAAAAATTACCTGCCTTTCACTTATATAGAAGAACAATGAATTGTCAGCTTTGAACTTGATGAACTTCCAGTCTAGAAGAGTTCCTTTTAGTCTTTCATACCACGCTCTAGAGGCTTGCTCAAGTCCATATAGAGCATTTTCTAGTCTGCAAACAAATGTTGGATCGGCTTTGTCAACAAATCCCTCTAGCTGTTTCATAAAGACAACTTCACTTTGCTTTCCATTTAGGAAAGTATTGTTAATATCAACTTGTCTAATACTCCAACCTTTAGAGACAGCAAGTGATAGTATTATTCTTAGGGTGGAGGCCTTGATTACTGGACTAAAAGTCTCATGGTAATCAATGCCTGAAGTTTGTAGGAATCCCTTTGCAACAAGTCTTGCCTTGTACTTTAAAACCTTTCCTTCTATGTCCCGTTTGAGTCTAAAAACTCACTTGTTTCCTATGACCTTTTGATTGATCAAAGGTGGTACCAACTTCCAAGTTCTATTCTTTGTACTCCTCTTCTATAGCCTCTCTCCAATTTTTGTCAGACAGAGCTTTAAGAGCATCATTAGGTTCAGACTTGCTTAGTTCAATTCTAGAATTTTTGCAAAGTGTAGTGTACACTTTAGGTTTGAAAATATGCACTCTACTTCTGGTGATCATAGGGTGCTCAACATTATGCCTTGTAGCCTCTACTTGTTCCTGCCTGATTATTTGACTTAGTTTGTTCTGCCCCAGTACCTGCAGTACCTTCCCAAGTTTCCCTTACAATACATTTATGTCTAATTTTTGAATCTCCATTTTCATTTACCTCTGGAGTCTCAGTTTCAATTGCTGTGAGATGTTGCTAGTTGAGTTGAACTAGGATAAAGTGTATCAGATGAATATGCTGAGTGGTAGATATTGGACAATAGTTTCAAATGAATGACTGGTTTTATTTAGGAAACCATGCTGAAATGGGAACTCATTTTCATTGAAAGCAACATGTCTAGATAGATAAAAATTTCCAGTAGGACTGAGGCGTTTATAACCTTTCTGGGAGTTGTTGAAGCCAAGGAAAACACATTTAGTGGAGTGAAAACTGAACTTATGAGGCTAGTAAGGTCTTAGGCAGGAAAACAGGCACATCCAAAAACTTTAAGTGACTTGTAATTGATCTGTTCATCATTCATAACTTGGTAATGTGACTTCATTTGAAGAACGTGTGTAGGCAATTTGTTAATGAGGTAGGTGGCTGTGTGAAACGACTCCCACCAGTAATGCAAGGGCATGCTTGCTTGAGCAAGGAGGGTTAAACCAATTTCAATAATGTGGCGATGTTTTCTTTTAGCTTTACCATTTTGAGATGAGGTTGAGATGAGGTATAGGGATAAGAAAACCTCAAGTGAATTCCTGATTATTTGGTGAATTCAATAAATGCTCTGAACCCCCCCTCCCAAAAAAAAAAAAATAAATCAGATTGAAGTGTTTCGATTTTCCTATTGAACTTGTTTTCAACTAAATTTTTGAATTGAATAAAGGAGTCCAGTGCTTCTGATTTGTTCCTCATAGGATATATCCACGTGAACCTACTGTAATCATCTATGAATATGATATAGTACTTGAAACCTGAAGTTGATTGTAAAGGAGCTGGAGCCCAAATATCTGTATGAACTAAGTCAAGAAGTGCAGATGAATGAGAAGTGGAAAGTTTAAAAGGCGGTGAAAGTGTTTTGCCAAGTTGACAAGCATCACAGAAATGATTAACTTCATTCATATCAAGCTTTTCATTGCATAGTTTGAGCACTTGAGACATTATAGAATTTGAGGGAAGTCCAAGTCTCATGTGCCACAACTTTAATTTAGAAATATGCTCTGTGAGACCTTTGGACTGCGCAACAAAAATGAAAGAGCTAAATTTATTTGAGTGGACAGACTTAAAGAGAGAGGAGACTGGTTAACTTCATCGGCAGTTCAATCTGATACAATCCATCCTTAATTCTCCCTTCCAGCAACACATCCTTCGTTCCTTTGTCCTTAATAGCACAGGAATCAAAATGAAATTCCATGAATACTCTATTATCAGAGGTTAATTGTGAGACACTTAACATATTTTTCTTGATTGAAGGAACTAACAACACATTGTTAAGAACTAGTGACTTATTGTTTTGTGTATTGAGGTGATTTGTGCCGATGTGAGAGATATGGAGTTTGTTACCATTTTCGACAGCAAGTTTTTGCTTACCACCATACTCCAGTGCCTCAATCAGATTTCCTTTATCAGTTGTGATATGGTTACTAGCACTTGAGTCTGCAAACTAAGCTGGATCAGCCACAATGCAGCCGGTTCTGGTGAACTATTCTGATAGTGAGTATCTGGCTTGGCACCTATATACTTCTCATCATAACGGTTAAAACACTTTGTTGCTTAGTGGTTGTTCATCCCACAGATTTGGCAGACACCCTTGTTTGCAAAAAATCTACCTCCTCTGCCTCTACTTTTGCCTCCTCTATAGTTGTTGTTTCTTCCACCATAGTTAAACATTCTTTCTCTGGAGGTATTTGAGCTGTGGATGAAATTGGTTGAGGCTCCACTCAAATTGACTGACGCCAAACTGCTTTTCAAGGTGCTGAGATGTTCAATTCTGCTTTCATAAGTCATAAGCACTGACTGCAGCTCATGCCAAGTAATAGACTCCATGCTATTGATTTGGACTACAATAGGGGTATATTCTTCATCCAATCCAGCTAGCACTTAAGTAACAAGGTCACTGTGAGGGATGACTTTACCAGCAAATTCGAGATTATCTGCAAGTTGTTTGATAGTGTTAAGATATTGATCAGCACTCATTGCTCCCTTCCTGGTTCTCTGAAGTTCACTAACAAGGAAAGTGGCCCTTGATCTGTTCATGGCTCCAAAACTTTCTTGTACAGCATTCCAAAAATCAAAATACTTGGATGATCCCATAACTCTCATTGCAACTTCTGGTGTTCTTGAGGAATACAACCAACCCATCAATAGTTGATCTGTTGACACCCACTTTCCATACTCAAGATTAAGAGCCATATCTACTATGACTCCAGTTGAACCAGTAGTTTGGGTTGCTAGAAACTCAGCTGGACAACTTCTGGTTCCTGTGATAAACCCTTTCAGATTGTGCCCTTTGATGATGGCATCACCGTGTTCTTCCACAATAAAAAATTGTTTCTGTCGAGCCCAACTTGTGGGATTTGAGTTAGACTCATCTCAAGTGTTTGCATCTGATTTCCTCCCAACATTGAAGGCATCAAAGTGCTTGAAGTAGGCTGTGCTGATTGTGTGTTATCATCTGATCCGGTGTTAGCCATAATGCTCTGATACCAAGTTGAAATTCAAAGGGAAAAATAAACTAACAACTTTGAGCAAGAAGATTAAATTTATGATTGAATTGTGGTCCCAAACAAATTTCACAATCATCTTCTGAATGGTGGTAACTGAATTCAGCTTTCATGCCAATAGCAATGCGTGTTGATCAGTGAATTAATTGCAATTTGTTATGTATTTTAACACCTATCACCACTAGCCTACGAATATATCAACTACATCCACTGTTTGGCAACAATAATCATCGCCATTGATAGGATGCTAGAAGCGACCCTCATTTTCTAACAGTAAATTTATATGTACACCTAAATCAAGTAATTAATACAAGACGAATTTGTGTAAGGAGAAAAAAATAGAGAAATGGAATAAAAGTTGTCTTAAAATAGAAAGAGATAGAAAGTACAATGAAAGAGTTGAACTTCATTGAAGAAAACAAATTAATTAAATTAATATATCAACACAAAGTAAGAAAAGAAAACAGTAATCCAAACAGAAGCAATGAAGCATGCATGAATTAATGTAGGTATAAACTAAGTATTTATACCAACATTTTTACACCAAATAACACAACATGAACCAAAAGCAAGACACCAATCCAAATCCCACACTCATCTTCCCAGAGCCATTCGCTGGAGCTGGCGCATCGGGTGTTTTGTTGTTGTCACTGGAATCACTTTTCGTGCCATTCAGGGCCGGAGGAGAAGCAGCCGGAGCCTTGGCTTGGTAAAATTCCACAGGCAACAAAACCTTGTCAACTTGGTAAACAGCCAAAGGGAAGTCTTTTCTGAGTGCATTGTAAATTGGGACATCAACAATTCCTGTAGAAACATTAACTTGATTGCCCTGTCCTGTGAAATTGAGCCCAAAAACTCCACCATCTTGGCCTGTTGCCTGAGTTCTAACAGGGTTACTGACTGTCTGCAGATTTTCTACAGTGTAGTACTTAGGAAGAACATGATACTGAACAAGCTGCACTTGCTGTTGGGTTGAAAGCTTGTTAAGAGTACCTGCGGGGAGATTAAGGAATGCATTGTCTGTTGGGGCAAAAACAGTCATGCCTTCATTGGAATTGTTCACTTGGTTATTAATCTGGTCTCCTGCTTGTGTTTGATTGAGGAGGCGGATGAATGTGGTATATTGGCCGTCTTTTTCGAGGATTCCAGTAATGTTGATAGGGCCGGAGGGGCCGGGGGCCGGAGCGGATTGAGCATGGAGGGTAGGGGTGAGGAGGGAGAGGACTGTAGTGAGAGAGAGAAGGATGAGAGAGAAACTCATGTTGGCCATTTGGTAGTAGAGTTGGTGGTTGTGATGGAGGCTTGTGGGATATGGGGTTTTATGGGATAAGATGTGGAGTGTAGACTTTGTTGGAATGAGCTGGCTAAGTATAAAAAACTAGACAAACCCTAAGTTGAGAGCACAATCTCAACTAAATAATGTAAACCATCCATTGAATCTCATTCACGCTAAAAATATATTTGATATACTAAACTCAATACACTAAAAAGAATTTAGGACAACTTTTTCTCATATTAATGAATCTTTTGGTAATAATGAATATATATTTTGAGTTATAAAAATGAATCTTTCTCTAATAACGAATACAAATTTCTAATGCCTATCGTCCTCAAGTTGTTGACCATACCACGGCGATCAAGTTGTGACTCAATTCGTGCAAATTATAAGAGAGACACGAGTTGATTAAGGCGCATTGGCGCAAGGGTGGAGATGGATTGTATTCGTGGGCTGAATTCTTGAATGAAACATGAGATAGTAAACTTTTCACGAGTTTTGGAGTAAAAAATTCATTAGTCAAACTTAATAAAACAAAGCCATTTTAATTAGCAATAGGCACAATTATTTCGAACAATAAGTATAAAAATGGGTCGGTGATCCCGTGATTAGGTAAGGCTGGCTAAAGTTAAAATAGACAGAAAAATAAATCCAAGTTGCAATACCTACTCAATAGAATATGGATATTCAATGAATTAATCATAAAAAGATGCATAATAAGCATATTTCGGACAACCTGGCCTAACATGGCAAGTGGTTTCTACTATGAAGTTCACAAAATACAGCAATTGGACAAGCTGTTTCTGCTATTTGATGACTAGGCAACAAAGCTCAACAACATCAAGTTTTTTCAATTATTTTATTAATATTTATTATTTTTGTGCTATAATTTTTCAATATAATTTAAATCATTTTATTAGAAAATTTTACATGGGTTTGATGTCAAAAAATTTCGGATGTAAAATTTTTTTAGCAGTTGATTAAATTCTTGTTTGTTTGGTGTTTGATTAAATGTATTAGTCATTGATTTCATTGAACGCCATGGTAAAAGATCAAGATTAGTAGCGGGAATTACTCTTGGTGAATTCAACTTTGAATAAATCACTACATTATACATTTGTAAACAAGCACGAAACCATATTGTCTAGCGTAATGGCTTTTTTATTTTTTGGGAAAAGCAAGCAGGGAATTATTATTAAAAATGATAGCTGCAAAATACGGACCAAATAGCATATGGTATACAATCAATCCATTCCTTATCATCTATACATTCAATAGCAAGAGAAACGAGCTTGTGGGCCATCTTATTTTCCTCACGGAGAACAAACGACAAGTGACATACACATAAAGAAGTGTCGCAAACAATTAACATTTTCTATTCATATCAAGAAGGGTAAACTTCAAAAAGAGATCTGGATCCCAATTTATTGATTATCTTGTAGTGAGCGAAGCCAGAAGCTTTTAAGAGCTCCGTCCATTCTCTCTCATCTCTCTCTCTTCCACCAATGGCAACCATCATCATCATATCAAAGAAGAGTTGGGATTCAGTTATTTTTTCTTCTTCTTTCTGATTGTCGATAATAATTGTGTCAATAATTATCAGTTTTCCTCCTCCTTCCTGGCTCAGTATCGCTTCTTTGCAGTTCTTCAATATCTTTATACACTCTTTGTCGCTCCAGTCGTGTAATATCCACTATCATCATTCAAACAATGAGTACAATTAGGTTAACATTTGAGGGAATGTATCTTATAACAAAAAAAATAAAAAGTTGTATTTACGAATACAATATCTACATATATAAATGTTGAAGTTGTTGGGCCCAATAATGAAACATCATTTGTTTTTCTAGAATTCCATAATTTTGTATTTAATGGAAAATAGTTAAACTAATTTTATTTCATATTACTTTGAAATGTCAATTGTACATATAATAGAACACGTATTTTTTATATTCTTTTGAGTTTCAATTGTTCGTAAAGTTTAAGTAAACAAGTTGATGTTTACGCGTTTTGATACAAAAAGCATGCTCGAATATGACTCCGTCTTGTTTGATAGTTGTGAGAACTAGATGGGAATAGATTGTTTAATTGAAAATGGTGATATCTTATTTTTTGGTCAGAATTTTTTCAACAAACATATTGTTCAGCTTTCTTTACTTTATGGAGGTTGTACTTAATATAATCTGTGTCAAGTGATTTCTTATAAACAATACAACTTCTGCATAACAAAAGGACTAATTGATTTTGGTGAATATTGCAGTGTCAAAAGTAAACCACTTCCCAGAGAAGAACAATTAAACCCACCATCTTCCACTTTGAGTCTTCCTCCAGAAAATATATTCTTTATATTTTATATATACAATTGACAGCTTATTTATTTAAAAATGATCTATGACTTTATTTTGAAGTAATTTAATAAAATGAAAATACAGTCGTAAAGTCTATCTACGAAAAATTAGTTTGCTAGCAATGGATAGATTGTTCCTAAACAAGTTTATGACAATTATCAATAGAAGTTATATTTAAACTTATCCAATACTGCCCAAATGTGCCTTTTATATACGTTAAAGACAAAGTAAAACAGCTATAAGACTACCAAAAAAAGGAAGATGATAGTCCTACCTTGAGTAAGATTGCATCTGCTTGAGGAATAGACTCAAACATGTCTCCTCCAACGTCACAGTGCATTTCAAGTTTGGAAACATTTCAGCAACGGCCTTGGTCATCGTCCCGGTGCCACCTGCTACGTCTACCATGGAATTCAAACCCTCAAATACATGTTTACAATCTCTAATAACCACACTTGTAATCAACCGTGAATCATTAGCCATGGCATTGTTGAATAAGTGGTTCAGCTTCGGATCATGGCCTGCATAGCCCCAGAAGCTCCTCCCATGTAGTGTACTAAATGGCGTGGGATGGTCATCTTTGAACCATTCAGCTATGTAGTGCCATGGCTCTGTCAAAATCGGATCAGACACAACTAGAAGAAGTGGGACCAAGCTAAATGTCTCCTCTTTTAGGAGGAGACGAGAAGCTGATGTTAGCCAATATCCCTTCTTTTCTTCATTCTCAGAAATTTTTTCTTCGATGAAGAACCCTGAATGGATCAGAATTCGCATTAGACGGTACACACCATGCGCTTTCGCTTTATTGATAGGGAGGGTATCGACTAATTCGAGTAGTGTCATTGGTTTGCCATGTTTAAGGATAATATCTGGTATGCCTAATTGAATTGCACATTTGAGAGACATGGAATTTATAAAATTGAACATATGGTTCCAAACGTGAGATTGAGCACGAAGAAGCTCACTAGATTGTTCTCCATCAGGCAATGGCATTTTCTTGAATGGATGCTTTCATGTGATCTGCATTAGCACTGAGTTAATATATATAGGAAGATGACAGCATGATTGAAAAACGATCGTGAACTGTATAAAAATGTGACTCACGGCTGTAGGGTTCTTATCATGTTTAATTGTACTGTTACTTGTGATTCCATATTTTTATATAAATACAGCTTCTTATATTATAATATCATGAACCTTGTCGTTCCATTTGGAACACGATCAGATGGAACAAAAGTATATTGTTTATTTTAGTTTCTTTTATTAAGCAATCAATCTCCGTAAGATTTGCTAAATCTAAATCTCTGTAAGAGGTATATATCTTCATTAACTTTTTGTTGGGTAAAAATCACAAGTGTAAGATGTTTTCAAATTAGTAGTCAATTGGACTTAAAAGAGCTCAAATTGTAATTCTACGAAGAAGACTGTATCACTTATTATTGACCTAATTTAATCGTACAATTTATTCAATTCAAAACCAAAAAAAAAAATGGTAACAGAAATTGTTGTTATCTATTCTACTTTTTGTGCTAAAAAAAAGGTTGTACACCAAATTGGCTTGTTAGTAAGCAAGTCAATTTGCAATAACTCGTTGATAAAATTTATACCACTTGTTAGGAATATTAAAGTCAAGAAAATATGACGGGATGAAAAGAATCATACAAGAAGAAAGATTTAACATGAAAATCCAAATTCGGGAAACCTACGAGTAGAGGCAAAAAAGTCACTATAATCAATGGTAAATGAGTACAAGGGGTCTCCCTGGACTAAACTAATAAGTTGGACAATTGATCAATTCCAATATGCATTGTACACCACATATTTATAACCAAAGAATCCCAACATAATCGGAGAATTCTAATACAAAAAAGAGTCCAATACAAGGTAAGTCCTATTACAATAAATAATACCAATTACGGAGTATTTGAGTTGAAATAGAAGTTCAAAACACTCTTTTGAATCTATATATGTAATCTTCTACTTCTTCAAAGCATCTCCAAATTAAACAACAAACTCCAAATATACATCTAAAACAGAATTTAGGTCACATCGAAATTCTAACAAATCTTCACCTTCATACGAATTCCACTACAAGAAATAAAACTTAACGCTCTAACAAAATACTCAAACTCCAAGTCTTCCACCATGTCCCTCCGGACATACTCAACAACAGTGAACAAAATACAAGCCCTGCTTACGAGCAAAACTACCTTGAGCCCCAAATCTACTTGAATCATCATGTTCACAACTAACTCTACTTGAGTTACCAAATCTGCTCAAATCACAACAAGCCACACGATCATTAAGATCAAAACTAGTTCCACCTGAGCTAGGGCAGGTTTTTCAATATCATTGCTCGAATCATCACGAGCAACACGATTACAACCAACTTTATCCGAATTATCGATTATCGAACCATAGCCGCATCTGCATCCAAAGTGATCGTCAAACCTTCCAAGACATAACTCGATCCTTACATTGCTTCTCCTCCATCATCCAATTTTGAAGTACTCACGGTCTAAATTTTCACATCGTTAACGGCGCGTCAAGTCTGTTTCAAACTATTATTTCGAAAATTTCGACAATATGTTAACTTTAAAAATTATTCAACGATCGTACGCTAGCCGAATTCATAAATTGTCTTTGTCATCTCGAATCTCATTTCTAAAACTACATCATAGATATATCAAATGGTGAAAACGGACAATGAATATATTTAAATGTGCACCAAACATGCACCTTAAAAATAGACGTATAACTCGTATTTTCTTTTAAAAAGTCAATTATTTTATTAATATTTACTATTTGTGCACAATAGGTTTTTCAATACAATTTACATCATTTTATTAGAAAATTTTACATGGGCCGTGACATCAAAAAATTTCGGATGTAAAAATTTTTTAGTCATTGATTAAATTCTTGTTTGCTTGGTGCTTGATTAAATGTACTAGTCATTGATTCCATTAAACTCCGTGGTAAAAGATCAAGATTGGTAGCGGGAATTATTCTTGGTGAATTCAACTTTGAATAAATCACTGCATTATACATTTGTAAACAAGCACAAATCCATATTGTCTAGCGTGATGACTCTTTTTTTTTTTTGGGAAAAGCAAACAGAGAATTATTGTTAAAATTGATCGCGGCAAACTTCAGACCAAATAGCATATGGAATACAATCAATCCATTCCCTATCGTCTATACATTCAATAGCAAGAGAATGGAAACTAGCTTGTGGGCCATCTTATTTTACTCATGGAGAACAAAGGACAAGTGACATACACATAAAAAAGTGTTGCAAACAATCAACATGTTCTATTCATATCAAGAAGGGTAAACTTCAAAGAGAGATCTCGATCCTAATTTATTGATTATCTTGTAGTGAGCGAAGCCAGAAGCTTTTAAGAGCTCCGTCCATTCTCTCTCATCTCTCTCTATTCCACCAGCAACAACCATCATCATCATATCAAAGAAGAGTTGGGATTCAGTAATTTTCTCTTCTTCTTTCTGAATGTTGACTATAATCATGTCAATAATTATCAGTTTTCCTCCTTCTTCCTTGCTCGGTATCGCTTCTCTACATTTCTTCAATATCTTTATACACTCTTCATCACTCCAATCGTGTAATATCCACTATCATCATTCAAACAATGAGTACAATTAGTTTAACATTTGAGGTACTCAGAGAATATCTTATACAAAAAATTAGGTGTGTTTACAAATACAATATCTACATATATAAGTATTGAAGTTGTAGGGGCCAATAATGAAACATCATTTGATTTTCTAGCATTCCATAATTTTGTACTTGTATTTAATGGAAAATAGTTAAACTAATTTTATTTCATTTTACTTTGAAATGTCAATTATACATATAATAGAACACCAATTTTTTATATTCTTTTGAGTTTCAATTGTTCATAAAGTTTAAGTAAACTAGTTGATGTTTGCACGTTTTGATACAAAAAGCATGCTCGAATATGGCTCTGTCTTGTTTGATAGTTGTGAGAACTAGACCAGAATAGATTGTTCAATTGAAAATGGCGATATCTTATTTTTTGATCAGAATTTTTTCAACAAACATTATTCAGACTTCTTTACTTTATGGAGGTTGTGCTTAATATAATCTGTGTCAGGTGATTTCTTATAAACAATACAACTTCTGCATAACAAAAGGAATAATTGATTATGGTCAATAAAAGTTATATTTAAACTTAACTAATACTGTCCAAATGTGCCTTTTATATACGTTAATGACAAAGTAAAACAACTATAAGCCTACCAAAAATAGGAAGATAATTGTCCTACCTTGAGTAAGATTGCATCTGCTTGAGGAATAGACTCAAACATGTCTCCTCCAACGTAGCACAAGTTCTTAGTCCCTTTCAAGCCAGCAACAACATGTGGAAGATCAAGCACAGTACATTTCAACTTTGGAAACATTTCAGCAACGGCCTTGGTCATCGTCCCGGTGCCACCTGCTACGTCTACCATGGAATTCAAACCCTCAAATACATGTTTACAATCTCTAATAACCACACTTGTAATCAACCGTGAATCATTAGCCATGGCATTGTTGAATAAGTGGTTCAGCTTCGGATCATGGCTAGCATAGCCCCAGAAGCTCCTCCCATGTAGTGTACTAAATGGCGTGGGTTGGTCATCTTTGAACCACTCAGCTACGTAGTGCCATGGCTCTGTCAAAATCGGATCAAGCACAACTAGAAGATATGGGGCCAAGCTAAATGGCTCGTCTTTTACGAGGAGACGAGAAGCTGGTGTTTGCCAATATCCCTTCTTTTCTTCATTCTCAGAAATTTTTTCTTCGATGAAGAACCCTGAATGGATCAGAATTCGCATTAGACGGTACACACCATGCGCTTTCGCTTTATTGATAGGGAGGGTATCGACTAATTCGAGTAGTGTCATTGGTTTGCCATGTTTAAGGATAATATCTGGTATGCCTAATTGAATTGCACATTTGAGAGACATGGAATTTATAAAATTGAACATATGGTTCCAAACGTGAGATTGAGCACGAAGAAGCTCACTAGATTGTTCTTCATCAGGCAATGGCATTTTCTTGAAT